TGCGGTTAGCCGGGGGCCGGTGCGGCGAGCTGCAGTCCCCAGCCACCTTCTCCGTTGGGCTGGACCCGCAACGGATCCAGGGAAGGGCCCTGGAACGCAGACATAGGAAGAGACAATCGCGTGGGCCAGGGGTGGTAGGTTTGCAGAAATGTTGGTGTCCAAAACGTCCAGAGCTCGCCCTCTCTCCCTGCCTACTCTGAGTTTGGGTGGGGGAAGGATGTGGGTTTTGGGAGGGAGGCTGGGTGCAGGTTCTGGGCTGGGATGGAGATTGGAGCACGGGAGGAAATGCAAAGTGCAGACCGGGATGAAGAGGTCAGTCTCTGGGAGGGAATGTGAATACAGGAGGGGAGTGAGGGATGCAGGCTCTGTGGTGCAGTGTGGAGCAGGAGGATATGAAAAAGGGTGTAGGCTCTGGGAGGAAAAGGGTTTGGTCAATGGCGTGGAGGGAGGAGATGGCGTGTGCTGCACTTACCTAAGAAACCCTCCTCTAGCAGTGGCTTCTGTGGGGAAGCAGAGGTCTCTATGCGCTGCTGTTCACCTGCTGTCCCCATGTGCGTCCCCCAGCCCTGTCTGCCATCCCCAGGCAATTTAGAATGGCCCGAGGCCCCTACTGCCATGGGCATGTGTGTAGTTGTTCTTTGCTGCTGCTGATGGTAGCCCCCCAAATTGTTTAGATTGCCTGGGCAGCAGGAGGGGCCAGAGGATGCATGGCAGGTGAGCTGCAAAAGAGCAGCAAGTGGGGCTGAGGGAGAGACCCAGCCCCAGACTTTGGTGGAGCCCGGCCTTGGGCCAGGAATATTCCTGGTGCCCAGGTACCACGGGCTCGTATAACTCACTGCCTATGCACATGGGGATTTAGAGTTCAAGGCCAGGCCTTAAATCTAGGGGAGAGTTAGCTGGTATCTGAACTCACCCAACCATCCCCTCAAATTCAGCGTATTGCCTCCATTATTAATAGGACTTTATGTAATGCCTCTATTTTGTGCTGTATCCAGTCTGTCAAATACCACCTCCCATAAGGATTTCTTCTGCAGACAGGGAAGGATGGAAGTGGGCATGCAGTGGTACTGGACTACTGAAGGAAAATGGTGGTTCCAGTCCTTCAAAACTATTCTTGCTCTGCCCCACTGCCTTTATTTTCAGCAGAAGCATACCTCCCTCAGCTTATAGTTCCCAGTAGGGCACAGGCAGGGGAACCACTCTTATGAACTTTCCAGTTCTTTTGCTGTGGAATATACAATTATTTCTCATCCCTGTTGAGATGTCTGCTCCCCTGCTCTGGGGATTTGCCTATCCTGCAGCTTTATGAGGATTGCCTCTATCTGGGCAATAAATTGCTGTTTTGGATGGATCTCGCTTGTGCCTTAGTACAGAGATTTCCTGCTGTTGTTCCATTTTGTCCCTTTAGGCTTATTTTGCATGAGATAGCAGGGAGTAAAGAAGCAGGCATGGTCATTGCTATGACTGTGATAAGGAGCACAGCTGAAACTGGGTTTCCATCACCATTTAATCCCTGGATTAATCCTTTATCTGATGAGTCAGACACAGGAGTTTCTTATATAAATCAGATTATTCTTAATCTAAAAATCTGCCACTGTATAAAAATAATTTGCAAAAGCGGTGGAAAATTGTGTTAGGGAACAGATTCAGGCTAAGGACTGGATTGCTCTAAAAAACATGGTCCCAAATTTACCCATGTACTTCCAGAAGTGAAGCTGGAATGCTGGGCTGGATCAGCCTATCCACTCAATCTGTCCATAGTCTGTTAGTACTAGTATTTAATGTTATGTAATGTTAATGTATTTGCACTTATAAAACACTTTACAAATATTTGTTAATTAAGCCTCAAAACATCTCCATGTTAGTTGTTAAATTTGTTTATTCACTTACATAGCTATATTTAGCACTCATCTCCATTGCATCTGGACATCTGACTTTCTTCAAATGTTTCTACAATTAAATCTTCCACATACAGTAGGCAGATGCCCACTGGCTACATTGTTAGCCCAAGTGATATCTCTTCACTGACACTAAAAAAATCAATTACTCTGCATAAGCAAAAACACCTTATGGAGCATGCTTATACCTGATAATCACTGGTGCTGGTAAGATAAAAATCACTCTGTCTTTTTATGAAGCTTGTTAGCACCTTTTTACCTGTTACATGAGACCTGCAATCATCCAGTCAAGGTATGAAAAATTGTCAAAGACCACATCAGAAAGGAAAGTAGTTGGAAAGGGCAGATGCAACACCATCCATACAAATTTAATCCCAACCCAACTAGCAATAATTCAATCTTGTCTAAATTGCCTGAAAGCAAGTAGCTAAAATTCAATCTGAATCATTCTTTGGGAAATTAGAGAAACTATGAAACTTGGATTAGATGTAAGCAAATGTAGAGTGGAGTATCATTATAATCATCACATACACACTGACATATATAAATACTAGTCAGAGCTTTGCAGGGCCCCTGGTATGATAACAGTGGGTAAGTAAAAAAGCTTCAGAGGGTAGCCGACTTAGTCTTTAAAGTGCTACTAGACTATTTGTTGTTGTTGTTTTTTACTGGGTAAATAGTTATATATTCATTCCAGTGGGATCACTCTTGAAGAGAAAAAATAAGACACTTTAAGACATCTGTCTACCCCTGTAAGGAGGATGTGGTAAAAGGGAATTCATCTGGTCTTTTTTCTCTTGTATGCATAGAGAGCAGAGATGGGCAAGACAACCTCTGTAGGCCAGATCTGGCCCACCAAGCCAGTTGATGCAGCCTGCAGCCTCCCTGCCACTCCCAGGCCAATCGAGACCTGGGGACGAGCACAAAGTCTCCTCCCCCAACCAGGGGCGTACAACACCAGAGGGAAGCTCCAGCTGTTCAAAACAGCTGGTGGTTCTCTCTAGGCATCATGTGCCTGCCCCTGGCAGGGCAGGGGGCAAAGATTTCATGTGTTCCCCCACCTCCAGGCCAATTGGGGTCTGTGGGCAGGGGAGCACAGGAAGTCTACTGGCCCCACCCGTTCTGCCTGAAGCCCCACCTCTTTCGGGGCACCCCACAACTACTTCAGAAATTTGTGAAGTGGCCCCCCCTTCAAAAATTATTGCCCACCCTGATATAGAGGAACCATAGGAATAAAAATATTTTAAATGGCCTCACCTGGGTGTGTCTAATAATATCTGAGGTTACTGAACTTGAGTGAGTTTTAAAAATTGAATCTAGTTTCAACTTGAACAATGAAGCTATTTCATGTTCAGTCTATTTCCATTTTGACATTCTGTGTCTCACAGGTTAGACTAGTACTGTGATGGCTGTAGTTTCAACACTATAGTGATCTTTACAACCAGAAGGGACTGGATTCTTTCTATTTTATGACATTATGAAATACTAATATTCATATCAGAACTCTAAGAAAATAATGGTGGGAGCCTAACCTCCTTAATAATTTTATCTTTAACAGAAATAATCAATTGAGCATTGAGTAAATATTATATTGACAGTATGTTTTCCATGTTGTAGCACTGAAGCCTGCATTTTTCTCTTTACTTTTTGCGTTATATAGGACCATGTGCTATATAGGACCATGTGCGTTATTTATTAAATGCAGTCCACTGACAGGGCTGGGGGCAAAGTGGACAGTTGCTCTGGGGCTCACAGTTGCTGATGCTACCTCAAAAGCCCCTTGGGCCCTTTAAATCACTGTTGGAGTGCTGTGTGGCATGCTCCAGGTGGCTCTGAGGGCTGGAGGGCCAGGGCCACAGTGCACTTTAGGCAGCACTGCCCCCTCTACCTGAGGCCCTGCCCCTTCTGCTTTGCCCAGGGGGCTGGCAAGTCTGTTGGCCTCCCTCATTAAGTGTATCTCTTGTGAAACTTCCCAAGAGTATGCAGGGTTGTGAAGTACAGAACCACTACCTGTTCTTAGCATGAGGAAGTTATGATGCTCTATGGAATTTGGGGGACACTGTAGAATGTTATGAATATCAACTGTAACCCTCTCTTTCCTCCCTGGGTTACTTGGGAGCAGGCAATGCTCACCTGTGTGCCTGGGCACCTGATGTTTTTAACATTAAAGGAAATCCTGAGTATCCCCAATCCACTGCTTTGCTGTAGTCCCTTGCTTCTAAAGGAACATAAAATGGTGGTGCCTCTACCTGGCTGGCCCCGGTACACACTTAATGGTGCGCCTTAGGAGCTTCCAGGAATAAACTTATTCCAGAAATAATCTGGATTTAACTCCAACAATTTTAAATAATATGCACCTAACTGATTAAATTAGAATTAACACACCTGTACTTAACCACTTAAAGAAACAGGGTTTAACAGACGGAGATTGAATAAAATCAATTAACAAAGTAAACAGAAATAAATGAAACTTATCTAATTGGCATTTACACTGCCACCACTTATCCCACTCCAGAGTGTGCACGCCTCTGGATCTTAGAGTCTCAGGCTATGTCTAGACTATGGGGTTTTTCCAGGATACCTCCCGTTTTTCCAGGGAGCACGTGTTTGCTCTTCTGCGAAAAAAAGTAGAAGAGCAAACATGCTCTTTCGGAGAACCCTGTATACTTCATTCCACGAGTGATAAGGGCCTCGCCAAAAAAGGAGGCT